TAGTACTTTACTTAAGTAAGTACTGTGTGTAATAGTAAGTAGTGTAGTAGTTTCGGGTTCGTACACACACTAGGTAGGTGGGTAGGGTCGTCTACAAGTACGTATTACTTACTATATATATATATATATATATATAGGATTTTGTTATGCTACACTACTTGTCGTGTATACCCGTAAAGTCCTCAACATTTTTTGATACTTAAATACCTTATCCTATAATGTAGTCACCTTTTGAATTAGGGTATTTTAAATAATTATTCAAGGATAAAATAGAAAATTCTAATAAAAACAAAAGCATTTATTAACAATAGTATGCAATGACATCACCGACATGATGTGTAACATCACCCACATGATGCATTAATTACTAATAGAATGCCAATATTTGTTTATAAAAATTTCCATTTTAGAAAGCTATAATCTTTTCTGGTAGGAACAAAAGAAGGTTTAAGAGTATGGGCATTTTTTGCCATATTAATATATGGGATTAAAGCTTCCTTCTTAACTTCATGGTCACTGATTTTATCAATCAGCTCAATAATCAAATTTTCCTCTTTTGAGAAAATATTTAAACTCAATCCATTCATATCAATGATGGCTTTATAAAAATTACAATGGAAATATCATTATGATATTTGAGTATCACCATCATTTGAATTTCAGTCAGAACTTGAAAAAATTAATTATGCATCTTCAATCTCTCCGATGAGCATCTTCTCATCAAATTCAGAAGAACTATTTGATGATTCTTTTTTAATTAAGAGGATGTTGTACAATTGTTTTTTAATAATGTCTTCAATTTCAAGAGCATTAATTTTTTTTTTACTCTACATTTGTTCTTATAATGTCCTACTTTACCACAATTAAAGTAAACATGTATTTTTCTCTTTCCCTTCTGTTTAAAAGGTTGTTCTTTTACAAACTCCTTATAAAATTTGTTCTTAGAAGATTGATCCCATTTTAGCTGATTTATACTTCTCTCATCTTCGAGATTTTTTTTTATGTTGTGAATTAGAGATGGTAAAAGAGGGTTATAACCGAGATGTTCACAAAAATCTCTAAGTTTTTTTTGCTTGTCATTCTTGTGCGATTTAATACGCTATGTGAGTGATGTCACAGTCCTATTAATGACAAAAATTACACTTTCAAAAAAAAGGTTCCATGTACAAAACAATGATATAGAAGTGTCCAAAATTTATTGAATACAATGATAAATTACTCTATAGTAACATAACCCATATATATATATATATGGTTTTTTAGGCTACACCACTTGGTGTATACCTTAAAATCCTAAACATTTTGAACACTTAAATACCCTTGAATTGTAATACAGATTTTTTCAAGTAGGAGCATTTTGTTAGTAGTTAATAAATATTTAACGCATCATGTGGATGATGTCACACACTATGTCAATGATGTTATTTTCCACTATTGTTCATAAAAGCTTGTGTTTCTATTAGGAATTTATACTTTACTATTGACTAATTACTTAAAATACCCCTAGACAAAAAGTTACCACACTATAAGATGGGGTATCTAAGTGTCAAAAAATATTGGGGACTTTATATATATATATATATAAAGGTTAAAGTTAGAAAGGGTTGTAATGAGTGTATTTATCAAAAATGTCATTACTTAGGTAACTTAACCATTAAGCAATAGCAAATTTGAAAGTTTTACAAAAGTACAATGGCATTTTGAAAATTAGTATCCATGAATTTTATTTGTAGAGTGGCATTGTCTTTAATAAAAACTTCAACTTTACCCTTTATGGAGATGACAAAAGTACTTCTTATCTTACAATAATATTTACAAAATTACCCTTAATGATGAAGATATCACAAAAAATAACTTTTTTAAAAAATAAACTACAAAATTAATAAATCCACCTTCACAACGCTCTTTATCTTTAACCTTTGCAATTTGAAGGGTTGTGAAATTTAGATTATCCAACATATATATAGGAAAAATATATAATGAGACTATTTAGCTTTGGTACATGGTTGTCAAAATTAATCTTGACCATTGGATGTGAAATTGGATGCCGACATTTATTTCATTGACCAAGCTCAAAGTTCCAAAGAAATTTTTTGAAACTTTGTGACACATCTAAGCTATCAGATTTCACATTGTATGGTTATCAGCAATTGTGACCT